AGAGAGAGAGAGAGAGAGAGAGAGAGAGAGAGAGAGAGAGAGAGAGAGAGAGACCCTCGTAAAAAAAGGATAATGGTAAGAGATATCAATCTATTTTTATAAATACATTGATTATAACATTCTTATAAATCATTCTACGATATGAGTAATGATATTTATCTTTGCATTTTAGTGGATTTTGCATGATTGGAGCGATGATGATTGTATTAAAATCCTTAAAAATTGTCGGAAAGCGATACCCAAAGAATCTGGAAAAGTCGTTATTGCGGAGATTGTCAATCATCCTACAGGACATGATCCTTTTGTTGATACACACCTAACATATGATTTAGTGATGTTTTCACATTTTTCTGGTGGAAGAGAACGGAATGAAAGCGAATGGCAGAGAATACTCCATGAAGGAGGGTTCCTTCGTTACAATATTCTCAAGATTCCAACCCTTCAATCGATCATCGAGGCTTTTCCAGAATGAATTTGTAAGAAAGCATTAGGTTTGGAGATTCTTTTGATGTGAATCATACCGGTTGAAAGAACTGGAATTTGAAGAATTATACTATATCATGAGTTTGATGCATAATAATGGAATAAAATTATGAGAAAGAATTAGAACTTGAAGAATTCATGAGTTTGATGTTCAACAATGGAATAAATTATGAGAATTGAATAATTTTATACTATCAATAATGATGAAAAACTTTTATTTTGTTTATTTATATTAGTAATGGAGGAAATTTGATCTTTCGAAAATAAAAAATTAACAAAAATGTGATTTCATTCCACAAATCAATCAAATATAAAATAATCTAATTTCATTGAGTTTAATTATTTTATCTTTTTTTTTTAAACAACAAGCTAACCTACTCCTAAACCATCTATCTAGAGTTGAACACATTACCGGGAATATTTTCAAGTGTGAATCAATGTGAAATTCTATATCCCAGGTCAAGTGGAGAGCAAGTTCTGGTTGTGGTATGAGTCGGAGTTTATACCAGTTATAATGTTCAATGTTCAGTCGTAATCATGAAGGCAAATGTTGAGTATTATACCAATATTATAAATCACTCTACGAGACGAGTAATGATATTTATCTTTGCATTTTAGTGGATTTTGCATGATTAGAGCGATGATGATTGTATTAAATCCTTAAAACTTGTCGGAAAGCGATACACAAAGAATCTGGAAAAGTAGTTATCGCGGAAATTGTCAATCATCCTAAAGGAAATTATGATCATTTTGCTGATACACACCTAACATATGACTTAGTGATGTTTTCACATTTTTGTGGTGGAAGAGAACGGAATGAAAGTGAATGGAAGAGAATGAATTCAACGTTCCGATCCTTCAATCGATCATCGAGGCTTTCCCAGAATGAATACGTAAGAAAGCATTAGGCTTAGCGATTCTTTTGAAGTGTATCGTAACAGTTGAAAGAATTGGAATTTAAAGAATTATACTATATCATGAGTTTGATGCGCAATAATGGAATAAAATTATGAGAATGCAATAATTGAATAAAATTATGAGAATTGAATAATTTTATACTTTCAATAATGATGTAAAACTTTTATCTTGTCTATTAATATTAGTAATGGAGGAAATTTGATCTTTTGAAAAAAAATAACAAAAATATGATTTCATCCCACCATCATAAAAATGATAAAATCAATCAAATATAAAATTTAAAAGAATCTAATTTCATTGAGTTTAATTAGTTTTGTTTTTTTTTTTTTGAAACGACAAGCTAACCTACTCCTAAAAGCCATATATGTCTCCTAGTGAGACTTGAACCCATAACCTTTTATTTGAAAGAGTCACTCCTTACCGCTAGGCCAAAGACCATTTGTTAATTAGTTCATCTAACAGCCAAATAGAATGTTGAGAGAAGAACTTAAGATTGATTTGCCGAAATGTAAGTTAATCTCAATGGATCTTATGATAAGCTCAACAATGAAGAAATATGCAGAATGATATATATATATATATATATATATATATATATATATATATATATATAGCAACAAGATTAATCAGTAAACTTAAGCTAGTAATAATACTTAGTTAAATCGTAACAAGGTTTACATTCAAACACAAGTTAGTAAATGATGAACATCATAAGTAAGAGATAATGAAGATAATGAAGACTTGTATTCAATAAAGAGTAATAAAATGAAAGTTTGGAAGTGGTGTGTTTAGATCGATCATCATAATAATCTATTTATAGAAAAACTGAGTACAAGATAAACAATAAAATATATCTAAATAATTCATCTAACACATAATGTTAGAAAAGGTGAACATTACTTTTCTGACACTTCGACATACAAAAGACAAAACATGCTTTTCTTCGGGTTAACATTTTCACTTCGGTATTCTAAGCCTTCAGTGTTGATCTTCATAGTCTTCGCATCTGATACTCAACCAAAGTTCTACCGCAACAATCAAAATAGGTCTTTGGTACTTCAACACATTTATAGCTGCCGAGGGTCACTTTCATGTTTCAACAATCCTCCCCCCCCCCTAAGTGACCTCGCAGTTATCACTTTCACTTGCTAAGTTTGAGAAACTTAATAATGAGCCACCATAACTTCCTAACTTCAACAATCTATTTGATCCTTCTGGAGATTTCAAACTTCACCTCATCAGTGATGTCTTGGACTTTTGAGCCATTGAAAGAGTTCCTTCCATGTGTTTAGGAGAGCAACGATGAAAAGCAGTGGTTGGCAGGAAGAATTTTTCACTATCTCTGGAAAGGTTGAAAACAGTGCCAAGTTTGGGGAAGTTTGTTGCTCCGAGGCTTAAGTCTTGAATCCCTTTGGTAATGTATTTAGGGTGTTCAAATGGAGGGAAGTTCATCTTCTCTGCAAGTACTGAATGGATCTCAACATCAATTTTTCCAAAGTCACATACAAGGGTTTTTAGGAAGTCATCTTCTCTGCAAGTACTGAAGACCTTTACAATCAGAAAAATATCTTCGAGATTCATATAGATGAAGTCTGCTTGAGTTCGATGGTATTCTTTACCGAAGCGTGAAAGAGTTTATTGATAATGTGTTTCTCCTTTGAAAGACCTTGGTTTGAATGTTGTAACAGTATCGGGTATGTCACATGACTAGATTTCCTCTATCAATTTCCCATACTTGTGAAACAAATTTAATCTTTTAAACTCCATGGCCATTCTTTGCTCATATGGGATATTCTGGTCAAATGGCTTAAATACTGGGAAGTATTTAGCATTGCGAGAGAGAGGAATGTCCCAGTATGCTCCAGTGGGTTTAGAGTAGGAGAGATAAGGAACATAATATGTGTCCAAGAGTCTTCGCATTGGGTTTACCCAAGAATAGATTAGAGATTCATCGATTCTCATATCGAATCCCTGAGTCTGACATATGTATTCAACTAGCTTGGCTAACCTCCAGTCGGCCTTCTTTTGTCTTGTCTTGGGAGAGTTGAAGGAGTTGTCATCTGACATGTAAGGTGTAACACCTAGATTTCAAGTATTCGTTTAACCCTTGAGTTATGTTTATTTTGCAAGTTTAGTCCCTGATAGCGATGTTGTAAATTGAAGACCTTGAGAGTACGCGGGGCGTACACCCTCGTACGTAGGGCATACTCCGGAATGCCTTCATACAGTGAGCATACACAGGTACACAAGGTGTACGTAGTCAGGGTGTAAATCCTAAATTTTAGGGTTTGGAGCCTATTTAAGCTCACTTATGGCCTCAAGCACCTTCTTACCTTCAACCTCCCTCCTTAGCTTGAAAACCCTAAGAGTGTTTGTGGTTGTGAAGCTTGTTTGGGCCATTTTGGTGCATTTTTGGAGCTCTTGAAGTAGAAGGAAGAACATTAAAGTGGTGGTGTTACACTCAAGGCTTTGGATCCAACATTTAGTCCCCCTTGTGCACCTTGAGGAGGTAAAAAGTTTCAAACTTGATGATAAAATCTCTTGGATCTAGTTTTTCTCAAGTTGTTTCTTTTTTGGTCCCAAACTTAGCCTTTGTGAGTAGGAGGTACTCCAAAGCATTCGAGTTGTCCTTTTAGAGGTTTTAGGGGTGTTAAGTCATAAAATTGGGTCCTTGGTCACTAGTTTTCCCCTATGTAAGTGTTAGATGGTCTTAATGGGTTAAGAGGCTAGGGTTTTCGGTTTTAAGGACTTAATAGCCATTCTAGGCCATAAAGTTGGAAACTTTTTGGCTTAGGACATCTTATGTGACCTAGATCTGAAGTTTGGACGTGGGTACTTAAGGAATTAAGCACTTGGTTAGTAGTTAGCAAGCAGCCTCGTACGCAGGGCGTACCGAATGGTACGCTGAGTGTACAAGGTCAGCGCCCCATCCTTCGGTCAACTGCGATGTACGCCCTGCGTACATGAGGAGTACGCCTTGCTTACTAACTGAGTCAACTCGATTGAATTTGACCTGGTTTTGACTAGGGTTTGACCTAGGGGCATTTTAGGTATTTGAATGGTAGTCTGAGTTTTGGTGGTTTTAATTGTAAAGGTGATCGGTAGTGTGGGTTTCGGAGTAGCATGTCAGTTCATCATTTCTTCTGTCTATGAGGTGAGTCTTCTTACCACCTTAAGTGGACCGAAGGCATCAAGGCCGACCCACTGCATTGAATGACTAGAACTATATGTTCTCGTATGATTATGTATGTTGTACTTGTATGATTTATTCATTGAGCTATATGGGCTCGGAGTCATTACGGACTCAGTGTTGATACAGACCTGAGGGTTGATTCGGACCCGACATAGCTATATGTTGTATTTTGGGTTGATACGGACCCGAGGTTGATACAGACCTGACATAGCCACGTGTTGTTATTTAAATGTTTGTTGTATGTGGTAATTTGGGAAGCTCACTAAGCTTTATGCTTACAGTTTATGTTTATGGTTTCAGGTACTTCCAATTATAAAGGTAAGGGCCCGGCGTGATGACACAACATCCTCCCTATGTGATTTCCGCACTTGATGTTTTTGTACTCTGATGTTTTGGAATATTGTAATGAATAATGGCTTTTAATACAATCAATGAATGAAAATTTAAATTATTTTAAATGAAAAATTTTGGTACTGTTTTTGGGTCGTTACAAGTTGGTATCAGAGCCTTGATTTGATGGATTCGGGCACACTCTCGAGTGTGTCAGAACTAAAACTGAGGAAATGATAA